GGCTGAGGAGGTGCCCATCATCAGCTTATGTGGCAGTGGGTGTGGCTGAGGAGGTGCCCATCATCAGCTTATGTGGCAGTGGGTGTGGCTGAGGAGGTGCCCATCATCAGCTTATGTGGCAGTGGGTGTGGCTGAGGAGGTGCCCATCATCAGCTTATGTGGCAGTGGGGGTGGCTGGGGAGGTGTCCATCATCAGCTTATGTGGCAGTGGGGGTGGCTGAGGAGGTGCCCATCATCAGCTTATGTGGCAGTGGATGTGGCTGAGGAGGTGCCCATCATCAGCTTATGTGGCAGTGGGGGTGGCTGGGGAGGTGCTCACCCGGTGGTCCCGCGCAGTGCCCAGCATCATTGCCAGATGGGTGCAGAAGCGCAGGATATGGGACCCAGCTGTGGACAGCTGTCTCTCTGGGGCTTTTGACCTATGATGAGCGTCGCCCAGGATGTGGCCTGTCCGTGTTTGGTCCGCAACACTGCACACGAATGGGCAGCGATGTCATTCCACTGCGCAAAAGCAGACCAACCAGCAGGGGCAGGAAACACAATGCTCCTGCAGTCCACCCACAAGCTACCAGGTTTAAGCCCACTGTACCTTTGAACAAGTTTTTTCTTCTAAATTACATTTAAAAGTATTATAGCACGGTGTCCAGGGCTATGCAGGACCGACACCCATTCCCACCAAGAGACTGCAGATACACAGTCGGATGTGATGACAGGATTTACAGACAGGACTGGATGCTTCTTTCTCTGACCTTTGTGTCTCTCTGAATCCTGCCACTGCCGCGTGGTTAGTGCCTCCGATCGGGACCTTACACTCAGGACAACGTGACTCCTGCACTGGCCTCCCACACTGGAATAAAACAGAGAGAGGCTGGACCATCCCAAAAACCTCAGTCATAGAGTGTGCTCTCTTATTAGTTCCCACTCGTGGGCTCCCGTCGATTCTGTTTTTTTCTCAGGTAGGTGAAGATAAACATTACTCTCACCTCTCCGACGAAGCACACGTGTCCGTTAGAGCAAGCTGAAACGGAAACAGCAAACCAAACCCGACGTGAGAACAGCGCCACCATGAGTCACAAGACATGATTTGAGATTCGAAGTTAGAAAATCATTTTACGTTAACTTTTCATTTCACAAATAACGGGCACCCCTGGATCAATGCTTGTACTTGTGGTGAATATTACACATGCATTCAAAATTATAAGCAATGGCTAGTTTGCCACAGTCATATCTCCATAGGACCAATATGACAGTAACTGGCTGCATGGTTTTAAGGTATCTGAAGCATCTGAAGAAAAATATATAATAATGAATAAATGAACAGGGTTAGATAAACAAAAGTGTTTCAGAAAACTGTGCTTACTGTACGTCCTCAGTGTGGTCTCTCTGGTCATCCACTGTCGAGCTTCACTGGAGCGGTCGTCAGGCATGGTGGGCAGAAATGCAGCCTGAGAAATGAGAACCAACAGGTGGTCAAGATCTACTGGGCAGTCATGTGACACGGGAAATGTAGCAGGGAACAGTAGTGCGACAGCCTACCTTGGCGTGTTAGATCTGGAAACGTTTAAATCTTCTCTTAAGACGCATCTTTCCTCAATGAAATTTAATTTCAGATGAGTTGGCATAAAATGCTCTGTTGTTCTTCATTTTATGTTTCTCATTTGATGTTTTTTATTGTTTTTAATGATGTGAATCTGTACAGCACTTTGGTCAACCTTGGTTGTTTAAAAGTGCTTTATAAATAAACTTTGATTTGATTGATTTGATTTGATTTGATTTGATTTGACAGTTCACAGGAGTGGTGTCTGGCTGCAGGGGCCCCATCAGGTTCACACATGCGCAGAACAATTTGCCATTCATAAGTCTCGCAATTCTTAGGACCCCGCATGTGCGAAAGAGAATAAAGTAAGACGCTGATCATGTAACGATATTGCTTCAGTACTATTTTAATCCTGAAGCATTTTGGATATTAGCCTAATTTAGTTATAACATTCTTGATGGTATAATGGTTTGGAAACATCTACTGCATTATCTATTGTGTCTTTTTCATGTATGCAGAATGAGTAACACAATAGATAATGTGGTAGATGTTTCCAAACCATTAAACCATCGAGAACGTTATAACTAAATTAGGCTAATATCCAAAATGCCTCAGATTTTAAAAAGTGAACAATAAATACAGTATCTAGGCAGGACTAGTAACAAGTAATCATAGATAACTGGTGAAATCAATAAAAATGCTGTTTGCATTTTTGTTGTGCAAATTTTTACACATAAACAGTAAAACTTTAAACAGTATGAACAGTATGAAATTAAAATGAATATATTTATAATAGATTGACAATCATGAAACATCATGGACAAATATGCATAGGACATTTTTTCAAAACTATTTTCATCAATCCAGCTGGAAGGGGTCTGAGACGGGCGGGGCCTAAGAGGGGAGGGTCTGAGAGGGGCGGGGCCTAAGAGGGGAGGGTCTGAGA